CTACTGTTCGTACTGTAGCAACTCTGCGATACTGTGCTCAACCCATTCCCGCTAAATATTTTCACATGAGATTGCAGACTCGCTGGTAATATTCCCAAGCTATCTTATGTCCTCTTTACGAAACAATAACAAGCTTAGGAATACCAGAGTGCTGTGGACTCCGGGATCTAGTTACGTTCTCATGCTGAAGTTAAAGTGGTACCGTTTCGTACACAGTATGAATGCAACTGGCAGAAAAGAAATGGTCCCTTGCAAATGCCTCCCACAGACGGAACTGCTTCTAGGTTTGGTCAGCGGAGCTGATAAGAGGCCCAGAGAGTAAAGTCTTGCTGTATAGGAGTAACAACTGGGCGACCCCACTGCTGACGCATGGGCCCTTTTCTGATGATACATTCCTGTCCTGTTCTTCCACCTTTAAGGGTAGAGTCACTGACCATAGCCTTGGAAGCTGACTGCTCAAGGTCTGGCCCCTTCACTGAGGAAGTAAGACCTCTCCATTTTAATTTTTAAAAAATTTGTATTTGTTTTTGAGAGAGAGAGAGAGAGAGAGAGAGAGAGAGAGACCAAGAATGAGCAGGGGAGGGGCAGAGAGAGCAGGAGACCCAGAATCCGAAACAGGCGCCGGGCTCTGAGCTGTCAGCACAGAGCCCGACGCAGGGCTTGAACTCATGAACTACCAGATCAAGACCTGAGCCGAAGTCGGACGCTCAACCGACTGAGCCACCTAGGTGCCCCAAGACCTCTGCATTTTATGAATTATACTAATAGCTAAATATTTAAGTTCTTGCCGTGGGACAGGTTGAGTAACTTGCACAAAGTCACCCAGCTGGTCAATCACAGAGCTAAGGATGTGAACTCGAGTTCATGTGGTTTCACAGCCTCTGCTCTACACTTCTAAGGCACCTGAGGGTCCACGGCTCAGTAAGTGTCCCAGCAACAGAGTGTGTGAGGGATGAAATGGGGTAGGGGTGGCTAAGTGAATCTTTGGCCTTCTGACCTAGTGGCTCCTTCCAGTGTGGCTGGTCATCCTTCGTGGGCCCTTAAATCAATTTAATGGGTCACAAACTATATTCAAAAGAGAGAAAGAAGAGGGCTGGCGGGGGAGAGAGGCAAGGACAGGAAAAGAGGGAAGAGAGAAAGGGAGGAAAAGAGACCAAAAGACAGGCTCCCATTGTGGGACACGTAGTTAAAACAGTACTGTTCCACGAAACTTTGGTTCCACTGTGTACGTGCGTGCTGGGTTGCTATGAAAAAAGTCTTTCTTAGTCGGCGTGCCCAAAGATCATTAAATTTCATTCAAACTCAGCGGGAAAATAAAAATTAAAGTGATACACTACCACGATGTCAGAGGCAAAAATGTAAAAGTGGCCTGAATGCCTATCAGCAGAAAAATGGATGAATAAATGATTCTGTATCCATATTACAGCTAGTAAGGAATGGCTCAGGCCTATACGTATTAAACTTGAGTGGTTGCCATGACGAACTGTTAAGTAAGAAAAACACCACAGATAAATGCATGTGGTAGAATTAGATATTAAAAAAATTTTTTTAAGTTTACTTTTTTATTTTGAGAGAGAGAGAGAGAGAAAGAGCACGCACAAGCAGGGAGGGGCAGAGAGAAGGAGAGACAGAATGCCAAGCAGGCTCTACGCCCTCAGCGCACAGCCGGATGTGGGGCTTGGACTCCTGAACGGTGAGATCGTGACCTGAGCCGAGATCAAGAACTGGATGCTCAACTGACCATGCCGCCCAGGCGCCCCTAGGATCACATTTTTGTACAATAAGTGATGAAGCCCTCAACATACAGGCGAACATTTGGGTGGTGGGCTGGGTGCAACAGGAGACAGATAGGAAGTAAGGAAACGAACAACAAAGGCAGTCGCCAACTAGCACGAAAAGCGCGTGCATCACGGCATGCAGGACGCCACAGGGGAGAGAGGGCACGAGCAACGTGGGGAAGTTGAGGGGCATTTAGTACAGTGACTGCTTACCAAGTTGCGGGAAGTGCTCAGGAAGAGCCACAGGGGATCCTCCGGTATCAATGGCGGAGGGGAGCTGTTACCCCCACCCAGGGCTGAAGGGGTGGTAATGGGTCCTGAGGGTGGGGACTAGAACTAGAACTCCAGACTCGAGGAGGCGGTTAGTCCATGGGAAGTGGCAGGGAGGGAGAGGGTTTCTCTCCCCTCCCACCCGCCTTTCTCAGGCTGCTGCATGCCCCTGGCCAACCCAACGGAGGCAGGGCGGGGGGTGGGGGGAGCAGAGGGCTAGCAGACCCGTTGATGCAGCCCGTAAAGGTCAGCTGCCCGGGACTCAGAGCAGGGGAGGGGGGCCGGAGAAAAGTCCTCTAACGGGACAAATGGGTGCTACCCAGCCAGCACAGAACACCGTAACATGGAAGGAAAAGGTAGACTGTAAACGCCATCTCTCATTTTTAAGTACGTGCGTGGATAAGAATGAGAAGGTTACCAAAGGACAGTCCCGATCTGTTTTTGTGACGGCGTCTTGGGTTGTAGCGAATTAAATGCCAGATCCTCAATAATAATTATTATTAAAAAAGACGGTTTTTTCTTTGTCACAGTGGAACGGGCACTTGTACTTGCTGTTTTTCTAACCTCCTCGTCTCCGAAATGGGGATCGCAAGAGTCATCTACCTCCTCGGGTTGTTAGGAGGATTAAAGGAGCTAACAGATCTTTCTGGTCTTCGTGTTCGGCACACAGGAGATGCCCTACGTGTTTGGGGTTGCCATGGCAACAATGGACACCTGCCGTGTCCCCTCTCCAACCTGCCCACCATCCAGCCAGAGCAAAGCTCCCTTTAAAGGGAAACACGTGACCGTGTCGCTCTCTTCCTTGAAATCTGTGCACGGTGTCCAGAGCTTGCGGGACAATATTCAAACCTCAGCCTCACGGGTACCTCGAGCTCGAGCCGCCTCCTCCTCATGCCTTCGTGCCTTCATGCCAGTTACACCAGTTCCTTTGGGGTTTGTGCAGGCGCCATGCTGTCCTCCCTGTCCCAGAGCCCCTGCTAGGAATGCCTTTTCCATACCATGCCACGTTCCTCTCTCGCGCACTCGTACTACTCATCCTTCAAAGTCACCTCCCCTGAGAAGACTTCCTGGCCACCCCACCCCCCACCCCCAACGCCAGTCTAATTTCTGTTTTGTTTAAGCATTTTGTTTTAAGTTTTTTTTTTTCTGAGAGAGGGAGAGCGAGAGACAGCACGCCCATACAAGCAGGGCAGGAGCAGAGAGAGGGAGAGAGAAAGAATCCCAAGCAGGTTCTGCGCTGTCAGTGCACAGCCCGATGCAGGGCTTGAACTCACAAACCCCGTGAGACCAGGACCTGCACCGAAATCAAGAGTCGAATGCTTAACCGACTGAGCCATGCGGGCCCCCCACCCCCCAACCCTAGTCTAATTTCTGGGCGGCTTCCTCCTCGACCCCTTCCATTCCATGCAGGCTGGATCACACCATACTCCCAAATCCTGTGTGTGTTGAATCCCCCCGTCAGCAGTGGGGCCCCCCAAAGGCAGCAATGATGACCTTTCCTCCGGACACCAGCACTGAGCATATAACCTGCTCAGAGTGGATACCAACTCACGACTTTTCGGCGAATTAGATTTTTTTTTTTATGTCTTTATTTTATTTTGAGAGAGAGAGACAGAGAGTGAGCAGGGGAGGGTCAGAGAGAGAGGGAGACACAGAATCAAAAGCAGGCTCCAGGCTCTGAGCTGGTTGTCAGCACAGAGCCCGACGCGGGGCTCGAACCCACAAACTGTGAGATCATGACCTGAGCCGAAGTCGGACACTTAACCGACCGAGCCACCCAGGCACCCTGGAGAATTAGATTTCTAAGCGAATGAGTTAAGTGACTGAAAGTTGCTCTGCTAAGCCAAGTGGCAGAGCCAGAATTCGGCCCTAGCTATGCATGACTCCAAAGGCCACCATCCGGAAGGTTCTAAGGCTGCTGGTTGGGTGGCTCCAGAAGAGCGGCGGTGCCTGAGGGAACTCCCCAGGGCCCTAGGCCAGTTCAGGCCAGAATGAGCTGGTCAGCAGAGACACGGAGGACTAATGGCCTCCTTTCTGGGAGGAGCCATGAGACCTTTGCTTTATCAAGGGACTTTCCCAAGAAACTCAATTTTTGGAGCATGGTAAAATATAAACAAACAACCATCCACCCACCCGCTCCTTGAAGACAATCGGTCCGAAGAGATCTCAGGGAATTGGGACAATCCCACGATGTTAAGAGCACCATCAGATCGCGGGAACTTTGTGTTCCCTCACCAAGCATCTGTCTACTGAATTTTTATGGTACGTGTGGCTCCACTGTGACACGTGCATCCCCAGACTCTCCCGTGTCACCCACGGCCAACCTGTATCCCCAGCCGCAGATACACTCGGGATTCTTGACATGTGCACCATTTGAGATTTGCTCTCGTGGCTCGTGATGATGTTAGCAGAATCCCTTGATAACAGTGTTTATATCTATTTATAACTGTAACCTATTATCCTATTTTCCATATAATTGGATGCGACTGGAGTTAACACAAATTCAGCTGCGTAAGAAAAGGCATGCTCGGAGAGCGCAGATGTTCGCTTTGCATGGAAAGTGATTAGCCTTCACCGCAAATACTCAGGAATACATAAGCGCTTTTTCCAAAAGCACGGATGTTAACGCTTTATGTGGAAACAGAATGGTTAAGATAAAGGCTATTAAAGAATGCAAGGGAGGTAAGCCACGGCTGGTATCTAAACCAGGGGTTGATTGGGGCATCTGGGTAGCTCAGTTGGTTGAGTGTCCGACTTCAACCTGGGTCATGATCTTGCCGTTACAAGTTCGAGCCCCACATCAGGCTCTGTGCTGACAGCTCAGAGCCTGGAGCCTATTTCAGATTCTGTGTCTCCCTCTCTCTCTGCCCCTCCCCCGCTCATGCTCTGTCTCCCTCTCAAAAATAAACCATTAAAAAAAATTTTTTTTAAATAGGGGTTGATTGATTTTACCTCTTTAGTGAACGATACTCCTTCCAACTCGGGCATTGGATTCATTCTCCAGTTCAGCGCATTGAAGAATAACTCATAATTTATTTGTTTTTCGTCATCTTCGAACCTGAAAATAGAATTGTAGTATATAATTTGACTCGATCTGCAGAATTCAGGACCAAAAACTGCACCTTAAATGCTACCACGAAAGCGTAATGTCAGGATGTTTCAATATCTTACTAGGTTCTTTATTTTTTTTCTTTTTTCTTGTTTTTCTATTTTTCTATGAGACTGTGAACTCGTTGCAAGCAGAGATCCCACACAGCTACTTCACCGATGTGTCCCCACACCTAGATTAATGCTGGCACTTAGCAGGGGCTCAATAAATATCTGTGGCAGCTCCCACAGAAAGAAAGGAGTTTATTCAGTAACTGAGACCATTTTGTTCAGAGTATTGGAAGGTCCCTTTAATTTCATATGGTTGATCCTATAAGTCAGTAAAATAAAATCTCCTTGTATTTCTCAGATTGCATGCCTTTTAAATTTTAAAAGGGAGCCTAGATTCATTTTGTCTACTAAGATATCTTTAGGAAAGATAAAAGGTATCTTTATCATTTATTATCTAGCCATTAAAAAGGGTTTATTTAGATCTACATATACTGTCTTGGAAATATGTTCATGATATATTGTTGAGCAGAAAGGAGGTTATAAAACAGTATGTAGAGTTATGATCTTACTCGAGGTTTTTATTTATATAAAAAGGCACATAAAGCCTAGCGACAGTACACTGAAGTACTAAAAACAGCTATTTCTGGGAAGAGAGACTGAGTTTTTGCTGTTTTCTTCAGACTTTCCTGTATCCTCTGAATTGTTTTAAATTTATAAGAGAAAACATTAAGTAAGCCCACTTTCACTTAAAAGAAAACATTGGCATAACTGTGACCTTAACCATAATAGACTTTTGGCCATTAAGACCTAGTAATTTCAACACAATTGTTAGAATGACCTAAATACAAGCAAAATACTTCTCAGTAGAATACCTCAGTGCCACCTATTCTGAATTTGACCACATTCTGCCATTTTTTAAAAATTTTACACACAGAGAGAGACAGAGAAACAGAGGGAGAGGGAGAGAGAGAATCTGAAGCAGGCTCAGTCAGCACCAAGCTCGACGTGGGGCTTGATCACATGACCCTGGGATCGTGGCCTGGGGCCGAAATCAAGAGCCGGACGCTCAACCGACTGAACCACCCCGGCGTCCCACATTCTGCCCATTTTTGAGGCTGAAAAACACACACTGGCCGTGTCCCATCATTTTTTGAAGGAAAAGACAAAGGTATTGTTTCAGACACCTTCAGGACCTCCAACTCAACACGCCCCTCCCACCAGCAAGTGAGACGCACGAGATACTGTTGTAAGGATGAACGGGGGCTAATTAATTATCAGAAAACTTGGTGGTGATAAACGTAGGAAAACAGCATACTCATAACCAGCCAAAGGACTTTTTCCCCCCCTCAGGATTAAAGAAAATAATAGCTCGTATTTATAAACTAATAAAAATTAGCTGTATTAAGTTCAGTGTTACAAGATGAAGTCACACAGATTCATCAATCTAAACAAAGTAGAATAAACAGCGATCAGAAGAGGGGAAAGGGAATTCAGTTATTCTTTTGTGTACATTTTCTTTGGCCGAGGATTCAGGGATGCAACTCCAGTATGCTGCCCCCTACCACTGTTTATCGTCTGGATTTTGGCTCGCTCGTCATTTGAACTCCTTGAAAGGACATGCTCTGTTTATGGAAATATTTGTAGCCAAAACGCGGGACCATTATGTCTTTTATTTGTGTGTGCTCTGGGAGAGGAACGAAAACTCAATCAATTAAAGATGTTTTGTAAGAAACTTCCCTTTAGCATGGAGCCTGGAGGAAAAGTATTCCCTGATACTCTGAGTAGGAGCTGAGGTCAGAGAATGAGATCATCTAGAGCCTTTCACTTTCCTACTGAAGAGAACTAAGGGCCACTGCAGCATTCTGTACACAGGGCTGTTATGGGACCTAACTTATATTTCCTAAAGATCGTTCCCACTGATATATTGAGACGAGGATGCAGGGCCAGGGCCAAAGTGGTGAGGGCAGTTAGCAGTCATTTACAGTCATCCAGAGGAGGGATCAAGGGTGGCGGTAAGGTGGAGGGGGCGGGGGGAGAACAGCGAGGAGTGGTCAGTTCTTAATACTTTGAGTGCAGGGTTCCTGAAGGATTGTATATAGTGACAGGGAAAGACACAGGCAGAGACAGAGAGAATGAATGGACTCAGGACAACTCCAAGGGTTTTTTTCTGGACCAACTGGAAAAATACAGCTGACCTGAGTGGAAGGGCTGCCGAGGCTACAGGTCGGGAGAAGACAACCGGAAGTCTTACCTGCATATGTTATACTTTGATGGGAAGTGAGCAGTAGGATCTAGGAGCTTGAAATTCAGGCAAGAGGTTCGAGTTGAAGATAAAAATGTGGCAGCCATTAGCATATAGATGGTATTCAATGCCACCAGATTGAGGGGCGCCTGGGGGGGCTCAGTTGGTTAAGTGTTCGACTTTGGCTCAGGTCATGACCTCACAGTTCATGAGTCTGAGCCCCACGTCGGGCTCTGAGAGGCTGACAGCTCAGGGCCTGGAGCCTGCTTCAGATTCTGTGTCTCCCTCTCTCTCTGTCCCTCCCCGACTTGTGCTCTCTCTCTCTCAAACAAAATAAACATTAAAAAAATTTTTTTAAAGCCACCAGATTGAGCCATTGGATGAGATCACCAATGAAGTAAGTTCCTCTGTTTCTATAGTACAGAATGTAATTGTCGGTAAATTCCCATTACGTCAATTACAGGAGACATTTATTTAATCCTAGAGGTTTCAGAAGTGGGATACCCCAGTAATCTGGAAACCAGTGAAAAGATTACCAGACAAATCTAGGATCACATTACACTTCACGCCCCACATACAATCCACTAACCAGTCCTGAGGGTTCTATCACCTAGCAGATCACAAGTCCTTTCCTCCATCTCATCTCCCACTCACTAATTCCAAGCCACCATCAACTCTTACCTGAGTCATAACAATAGCTTCAAAGCTTGATCTTACTGCTTCTACTCTGACCATGATGCAGACACAGCCTCTGTCAGGATGAGCTTTTAAAAACGTGGACCAGGTCAATAACTTTCTTCCTCAGAATTCTCCAGTGGCTTCCCAATCCACTTAGAACACGAGCTGAACTCCTTATCAAGGATTCTAACACCGTACATCATCCGGCCATCACTGACCTCTCTGATCTCACCTGAAAATTCCATCTCTGTCCACAACATTTCAGGTGCACTAGCCTTCTTCCTGTTCTCTGAGCAGGCCAAGGTTCCCCCCCCCCCCCCCCCCCCCCCCCCCCCGCCAGAAATGCAAAGCATTTGCATCAGAAAGGCAAAGGTCCCTTTGTCTGAAAGTCTCAATTCAAATGTTGCTTCTTCAGAAAGGCCCTCCTGAAGTTTCTCTTCCCTGAGTTTCCCCTACCCGAATCTGCATTTGCCCTGGATGATGGCAGTTGAAACTTCTAGAAAGATTTCTGGAATCGTCACCGGAATTCCTGTCATCATAGTTTGTTACTAGGAAGTCTTCTATTTATTCATCCCTACCTGTTACCCATAGGCACCCCGCTGATAGGTCAGACTCGACACATCTAACCACTCACCCATTTCAAAGGCTATTGGGAAAGGACATTCGTGAATCAAATGATATTCAGGAAGGCTCAAAAGCTGGAAGTGGAAGCGTACACAGCTTAGAAGTGATGTCTGACATTTTTCTGAGGAAAAATGTTTGAGAGATTTAATCTTTCCAAAGACCCAGGGCCAGGCTTCAAAGAGTTGAGCTAATGGGGTATAACACGCCAAAGTTTTTCTTTTCAGTTCTGTCTTAGAGGATCTCAATGGATACGGAACTCCCAGCAAGAGGCGCAAGGGAGAAAAGAACAAAACATCTTTCAATTAAAAGGGATAAAACGAGCCAATGCTTCTTGGAAGAATTCTTTGCCGTTGGAAGTGGACAGAGTTGCAGTTAATCGTGATGGATTGGTCACAAACATGTGTCTCCCTTTCTCACCAAAAGGTCACCAAAATGAGGGGGCCTCTTAAGAGATCAGCCGGTGTGGCCCACAGGACTCCTGAGGCGCTCAGCAAATGCAGGCTCCAGATGCCAATTGAGGCAGCAACATTGGGTGGCACTGAAAGTAAGGGCAGTTTCAAAGCCCTTGAACACAGCCAGGGCACCTCGAACCCCAAGTATCTTTTTCTACCCTGTCCTCTTCCAGAGCAATCCAACTTAAGAAGCTTCGGTCTGGGGGAGCTGAAGCATAATCGAGGGCAGAGGAGAGCATCGCACACGGAACCTGAGGGTGTAACTCGGCCCCCTTCCTTCCCCTTTCCCATTTTGAGGATCCCTATAGCCATGCGTCAGTGACCCTCCTTTCCCTCATTCCACCCTCCCTCCTGTCCCAGCAGAAGAAGGTAGGATTCCTCTCCTGATCCTCTGAATGGTCTCAGAAGGATCTCCAGAGTCCAGCTTCTGGGGATTACCTAATGAAAATGAGGGGTAGGAGATGGATTTGGGCAGGGAAACCCACCAATCCACAAGATCCTCAAAAAGCTTCTAGCATCGGGGCGCCTGGGTGGCTGAGTCGGTTAAGCATCCAACTCTTGGTTTCAGCTCAGGTCACGGACTCGCGTTTCGGGAGTTCGAGCCCCGCATCGGGTTCTGTGCTGATGGTGCAGAGCCTGCTTGGGATTCTTTCTCTCCCCCTCTCTCTCTGCCCCTCCCCCGCTTGCTCTCTTTGTCTCTCTCTCAAAATGAATAACTTAAAAAAAATTAAAAACAGGGCGCCTGGGTGGCTCAGTCGGTTGAGCGTCCGACTTCGGCTCAGGTCATGATCTCATGGTTTGTGGGTTTGAGCCCCGCGTCAGGCTCTGTGCTGAACGCTTGCTCAGAGCCTAGAGCCTGTTTCAGATTCTGTGTCTCCTTCTCTCTCTGCCCCTCCCCAGTTCATGCTCTGTCTCACTCTGTCTCTCAAAAATAAATTTAAAAATGTAAAAAAAAAATTTAAA